CAGGATGCAAGTTATGCTCAACTGTATATCTATGACTCTTATTCAGCTTTAGAAATTCGTAATCGTAGAAATCCTAACTTGAGAAGGGATGTTCTCAAAACTATTCAGGATAGTTTGTTGCAAGTCAATGCATTTGTAGATAAATATCGCCAGGCTCATGCCATTTTACATCAATTAGACTCGGTAGGACACAACCTACCTGCTCATTTTCATTATAATTCAACAACTGATCGACGTCGGTATAACCTACCAACTACAGATGAGATTGCAATTGTAATACCAGGTGATGGAACAGAGGTAAATGGAATGAGAGATATTATTTTACATTTCTGAGGAAATAATGAGTTGATGCAAATTAATGAATGTCACCCAGCATACTTGCCATTACATTATGTTCTATTATCTCCATATGGTGAGCTTGGATGGGAACCTGAGTTGAAATTGTGGAATGTTCAGTATGATCGACCTTCAACTGATCGACTTATTCAAATGAATTTTTATAGTTATCGTTTGTTTGAACGACCCACAGAGTATTCAACAATTTTGAGAGGTGGGAAACTATTTCAAGAGTTTTTGGTAGATGCTTGGGCTGCAACTGAGCAAAATCGATTGACATACTACAAGCTTAATCAAGGAAAACTTCGGGCTGAGCTTTACCAAGAGTTGTCAGATATGGATCCAGATTATGTGCGACCTGGACAAATTGGTCAAAGGTTTGTTTTGCCATCTTCATTTACTGGTAGTCCTAGACATATGTTTGAAATCTTTCAAGATTCAATGGCTATCACACGATACAACCAACACCCAGATATTTTTCTTACCATGACTGCAAATCCCAATTGGCTAGAAATTACTTCAGCATTATTACCATATCAAAAACCTATTGATCGTCCTGATTTAATTGCCCGTGTTTTTGAGTTGAAGAGAAAATGTTTGATGAAGGAGATAGAAACAAATAAAGTGTTTGGAAATAAAGTTGCACATGTTTTTACAATTGAATTTCAAAAACGAGGCCTCCCTCATATGCATGCACTTTTATTTGTCAAGGGTCCAGACAAAATTCGGACATGTGCTCAAGTAGACAAATTGGTCTGTACAGAATTTCCAGACCCAAAAGATGATCCTATGCTTTTTGAAACTATCAAATGTTGTATGGTACATGGACCATGCGGTGCTCGAAATCCGCAAGCACCATGTATGGAAAATGGTAGATGCACTGAAAGATACCCTCGAGCTTTCACAGAAATAACAACTATGGATCAAGATGGATACCCTATCTACCGTCGTCGCAATAATGGTTAAGTACATACTGTGAGAGGGCAAGAAGTTGATAACAGGGATGTCGTACCATACAATGCATATCTTTCAAAACTTTTCAATTGTCATATAAATGTGGAAGTTTGTGCCGGAATGAGATGTGTCAAGTATATACATAAGTACATTTATAAGGGTTATGATCGTACAACGATAGTGTTTGGAATGATAAATGAGATTCAACAATATCTCGATACAAGGTATATTGGACCTCCAGAAGCTGCTTGGCGAATATTTGGTCATCCTTTGCATGCAGAGATGCCAACAGTTGTACGATTGGCACTTCATTTACCTGGAATGCATCGTGTTATTTTTAACCCAGAAGAGTCATTACAAACGAAAATTTTAAAAAAAAGTGTCCCCTCCTAAACTGAGAAGGCACATGCCTCTGGTATCTGTTGACCTTTTTCTTTTTCTTAGAAGTTTATGTTTTTATTTATTTCTTTTCCTCTTGATTGTAACCCGTTAAGTATTTTCTATTCATGATAGTTATTTATTTAAATAAAATTTTGAATTTTATTATTTGATTTGGTAGCAACATATTGGGAAATAACATTTCATTGCCAATGAAATCCATGTTAACTTTTATTATTGCTAATTTTTTGTTTCTTTGTATCTAAAATTATATAACCAAACATTTTTAGGTTGAAATACAACAGTTATGGACAATTTCACAATATTTGGTCAAGTAAGGTTTTTTTTTTTAATATATAAATTTAAGTACCTCTCTTATAATGTAAGGCCTTTTTTTTTTTTAAACTTATCATATCTAATTTTCTTCTAATGAAATGTTTTTTTTCTCATACTTTATAGGTTGATGGAGACTTGCACTGAATCGTAATATCAATGCCGTTTATTAATTTTCTTATTTATGTGTATAAAGTTTTGGCTCAAATTGAAGATTATGGTTTCTGTCTTTTGAATTAAATGCTTCATGAATCAGGCAAAAGTTTAATTGACTTCCCACCCATGCCACAACCTACTGCAAATTGGAGTGCAGTAGTTGGTAATCGATTGGTAGTTGAACATCAACAACTGCAGAGTAAGGCACAACATGAAGATCCACAAATTGCTATTGATTGTCTCAATAATGGACAGCGGAATGCTTATAATACAATCACTTCTTCAGTTTTTCAAAATAAAGGAACTGTTTTCTTTCTGAATGGGGGTGCAGGAACAGGGAAAACATTTCTATACAATACGATTGCATTAAAATGTCGTAGCCTTGGGCATATCGTTGTTACTGTGGCTTCGTCTGGAATTGCATCACTGTTACTGGTAGGAGGTCGCACTGCACATTCAACATTTTCCATTCCGTTAGATGTCTTGGAAAATTCACTTTGTGGGTTTAGCAAACAATCATTACAAGCTGAGTTATTTAGAGAAACAAAACTCATAATTTGGGATGAAGTTCCTATGCAACATAGACATTGTGTTGAGGCGGTTGATCGTACATTGAGGGATATTTGTGATAGTGAAAAGCCATTTGGGGGTATTACTGTTGTTCTTGGAGGAGACTTTCGACAAATCTTACCAGTTATACCCAAAGGAGCTCGTGAGCAAATTGTGAATGCATCATTAAGACATTTTGTTCTATGGAAGCATATATATATTTTGACTTTGGATTTTAATATGCGCTTGAATCATGAAGGCCATGAAAATGCTAATTTTGCAAATTTCTTGATGGAGGTAACACTACTTTAACCTGTATTATATAGATTATTTTAAATTATTAAATTGTGTTTACACTTACTTTTTTATTGATTTCACTTTTTTTAGATTGGGACCAATCCTCAAGAAATCGTTAACCTTCCATCAACAATACGCAAATGTCAAGATTTGAATGAATTACTCTCTACAGTTTATCCACAATTGAATATGATAGAGATGTCAACCCCAACATTTTTAACTGAACGCACAATTCTGTCTGCGCGTAACGTTGATGTCAGTGACATTAATACTACTGCGTTGAATATCTTTCCAGGGAGATTATATACTTATCTTGCAGCAGATAAAATTTCTGAAGATAATGAAATTGATCCTACTATTACAAATAGATATCCTAATGAATATTTAAATTCATTGGATCCTCCTGGGTTGCCAACTTAGTTAGAGTTGAAAGTGGGTTGTCCCATAATATTATTAAGAAACATTGCACCGAAAGATGGACTATGTAATGGTACAAGATTAATGGTTACTAGGTGCGGCACTCGCATAATTGAAGCTCAATTTTAACTGGAGAAAAGTTTGGCAATTTGGCAATCATACCAAGGATATCTTTGACGCCATCTTCTTCAGAAATGCCTTTCCAAATGACAAGACGTCAATTTCCAGTCCGATTGGCATATGCCTTGACCATTAATAAATCTCAAGGACAATCTGTGAAATTTGTTGGGGTTGATTTGCGTATACCAGTGTTTAGCCATGGGCAATTATATGTGGCATTGTCTAGATGTACATCCTTTGATCGTATAAGTATTCTCCTCCCTAAAGATAATTTGGATTCTACTACAAATATTGTTTATCCTGAAGTGTTGCTTTAGTATTCTATGCAGATTAAATGACGTTTTATTAGAAGGTAACCACGTAGATTTATTTATGTTGATTATATAACTTTTTTAAAAATTTCAATTTAATAGTAATTTGAAATTTAGACTTTTGTAGGATTAGACCGAAAAATCTATGGAGCTTAAAAGGAGAAATATGACTACCTTGCTTCGATGGGATGTAATAAGGTAATTTCAATCTGAAAGTATTTTGACATGTATATTTCCAACAAATGCACTAATCTATATTTTTTTTTGTTTCCACAAATTACCAGATTGTTGTGCATATTCCTCATTGGGGATACATAAAAGTTGATACAAAGACTTTTTGGAAAGTAATGAGGAGGAAGTTTGGGCAAACGCATATTTGAAGACATGTTATTGACACATCTTTTGTAAAGCATATATATTTTTGGTGTATGACATGTTAGTGACACATCTTTTGTAAAGCATATATCTTTTGTAAAGCTTTAACCCACTTTTTGTAAAGTTTTAACCTACTCTTTTGGTGTATGACAATATAACTTTATTTCTATTTTTTGTTCAATATTTACACTTTTTTTACTGCCTTTTATATTTTGATATGCAATATAACTTTAAATCTTATATGTTTGTTTCTTAATTTGCATTAAGATTCGGGAGAGTTATTATTTTATTTGAGTTTTGTAGAGCGTGTAATACAAGCAAAATTGTTATAAGTTCTTTAAGAAGAAAAATATTTCAATATATTTTTTCAGTATCTTTATAAAAAAATGACACAAACTTTATAAATTTCAACATAATACGTATAAATTATAACTATATTTTAATCTTAAAATTATTTACGCCGTGCCTTTAGGCACGGGCATACGCTAGTATATATATATATGGGGAAGTGATTGAGACCTCCTTTAATCATCACCCTCACCACCCCACACACACGTGGCGGGTGGTGATTAAAGGAGAAGGAAAAAAGAAAAAAGAAAAAAGAAAAAAGAAAAATTGACTAATCAAAAAGAGAGGGGGTCAAAGGGCGCCTCCTTGAGGGGTCCAACTCATTTTTGATATATATATATTCGGATCATTGACAAACAATTAGATGTTAAATTTGTGGGTTATGTTATGGGCGGAGTTGTAATCAGGTTGAGCTGTCAGAATTAGGAGTTGTTCCATCACTATAAGTAAGATTCCATAGAATTTAATGAATCATTTTTTTTTATGTAACTGTCGACAGCATTGACCCACAATATTATAGTTGGAATGATCAAGTCACACAACAAATTTTGCTAGACGTGGGTGTCTAGTAGACTTGAAGGGTCAACGAAGCTCGTTTACCAACCATGTATGCTATACTATTAGTTTTATTAATTAATATGTTTTATTTATTTATTTGATCCGAGAACAGATTTTAACTTGATTCTTCTGTTCTGTGATCCATCATTGTTCATATTGGATTGGATTGGATTGGATTGGAGCTCTCTCTCTCTGTCTCTCTTTCTCTGTGTCTTTGAAGGGAAGGGAAGGGAAGATGAGAGAAACATGGGCTTATTATATGATGATGATTGGCATTGGAACAGTAGTAGTAGTAGTAGTATTGTTGATGATTATGTTTGTTGCAAAATGGGTGATAAATAAGCAGAGAAACAAGGGAATTACAAAAGGAGCTCATAAATTGCCCCCTGGAAGAAGAGGATGGCCCTTGATTGGAGATAGCTTCAACTGGTTTAATGCTGTTGCAAGTTCTCATCCACCTCGTTTTGTTCAACAACAGGTTCTCAGGTACCTCCTATACGTTTTTCTCCACATTTAAAACAATATATATATATATATATATGTGCTTCACCCTCGCTTTCTAATTTTCACAATATTTTCTCTAGTTTTACTTCAAAATTAATCGGTGTACTTGATATGAAGAACTAGATTATGGGTCCAAATTTATTTATTTATTTTGTTTTGCTTTTTGTTTCTAATGAACTTCATGCTGCAATCCAATGTAGTTAGTTAAAACCCACAATTCTTAAGAAATGAAATAAAACTCAATAACAACTATCCACATTTTAGATATTATAAATAAGCCTCGAGTTAGTCATCAATACTGAGCGCAAAATTTATCGGTAATTGCCTAACCAAAGGCATTTATCAGTAGCTGACTAACCAAAATTTATTGAGTTTGACATCAATGAATGGACAACTCGTTATACACACCCATATATTTGCGTGTTGAAGCTAGTGAGCAAATTAAATTAAGATGAGAGTGAATATTATATATTCAAGCTTGATGCTCACCTGGTGGCAGCCCCAATACTTTGAATAGTTTGATCGTTTAATGGAAACATTGTAAATTTGGGTTCGGCCTGACATTACTGAATTTGATTTGAAAGCCCCATGTTCAATCTAAAACGGTCCATGGGCAATAGTCATGACTTTGTTCTGACCTAAGGTGGATTTTGGAGAAATTCCATTGTTTTATGCCTCTGATTTTGCAATTTTGTTGTTTCAGGAAATATTTGTTTTGCTTGTAACGTTTACTATAAAATTTTGTTTCAAATGTTGTTTGTTTTGACACGTTTATTTTTAGTATCTAAATTTGAGTTTTACTCACTGCTGTCTATTTTGATATATATATATATATATATATTTAATGTTCTTTGATTTAGGCATGATTAAAAATGAATTAACTGAATTGTTTGTTTCCTAATCTTATTAGGATTTTGCTTTCATTAGATATAGGATGTAAGCCAATGTAAGCCTTGGAGGTAATCAACTTTGAGTAATTCTGGTATTCCTTTGGAAATCAACAGAATTATAAAAGAATTTTGGTATTTTGTCGCTACAAATTCTGCTATTATATATCTCCCTTACATCAAAACTGCAGGTATGGGAAGATATTCTCATGTAGTCTATTTGGTAAATGGGCTGTGGTATCAGCTGATCCAAGCTTTAACCGATGGGTAATGCAAAATGAGGGGAAGCTATTCCAATCCAGCTACCCAAAATCTTTCAGAGATTTAGTGGGAAAAAATGGGGTGATCACAGTGCAAGGAGAGCAACAGAGGAAGCTTCACGGCATTGCGTCCAACATGATGCGGTTAGAGAAACTCAAGTTCCATTTCTTGAAGGACATTCAAATGGTTATGCTTCAGACTTTGAACAATTTCCAAAACAACCAGGTCATCATTCTTCAGGATGTTTGCAGAAAGGCAAGTATATAAAGCTACTACAAGACTTTTACCTAATTAATAATGCTATGGTGATCACTTGTCACCCAATAGGTATTTTTTGGCTTTGGCTATTACAAATAGCTATTGGCCAACAACTGAGAGTATGTGCTAATGACTATGTATGTATTTATGTATATCAGTAAGTATATGTACATTAAAAATGCATGTGCTCTTCATTAATTAATTGTCTCATGTGTGCTGCAGCTTCAGCTTTGGCTTTGGCTTTGGCTATGGCTATGGCTAATTAATTATCTAATTTCATGCATGCATTTAAATTGAATTAATTTTACATGATGGCGTGATGATCTGCAGGTAGCTATAAATCTGATGGTGAATCAACTACTGGGGGTGTCAAAGACTGAAGGGGAAGTGGATGAGATGGCTCGTTTGTTCTCTGATTTTGTGGACGGCTGTCTTTCTCTTCCCATCAATTTGCCAGGTTTTGCTTACCACACTGCTATGAAGGTACACGACAACAATTCTTAATATTATTATTATCAGCAAAAAGGTTTACTTTATCGATAACAGAAATCGAATGTACACCCAATAACATCCTTCAATCATCAATCCACACCAACCTAAAAAAACAACAGGACCAACCCTTGCTACAATTGAAGACTTGCATAAGAGGTATTACAACAAGCATCTTAGCTTCCATACATGAGAACTAGTTACCTGAGTTCTTCCTATAAAAAAACATCACCACAATCCGCAACAAATCAAAAGTCACACAAAAACACAACAAAAAAGGCATCCATCTTCCCAGAATACACAAACACCACCCTCCAATGATTTGGATAGAAGCCATCCCCAGCCATTTGGCCTTGACCCTGCTAGATGCCAGCACCTGAAAAATCATCATATTAGAAATGCCACCAGTTTTTTGGCCACCTGATAGGGGTAGCTACGAAGTCACAACAATGAATATATATGATTCACAAATTAAACCAGATAGATAGATAGTTGTTCATCATTTGGTAATTTTTTTGAACTTTATACATGTGCATGTGTGCTTTTCCTTTTTAGTAGAGAAATTAAGTTTATTAAAGAAAATTAAATAAGATTTGCATCTAATTCTTACTTCAGATCAAATCAATTATATATACATACATGATAGACACTCTTTGAGGAAAGTAATTCTTATACGGAATAATGGTTCAATGTCTACCATATATAGAACGAACAATATATATATTTTTTTGGTAAGTGAGCATTTCATTATCTAAAAGAGAAGATTTACAATCTTAATACAAGATCTTAAAGGGAAACTCCAAGGGTAGCAACCAAAAACCAGCGAGTCCTATGTTTTAAAAAGTAAACTCTAATAGCTCGAGAGCCTAGGTTAATAAAGAAAAAACGTTCTCTCTCAACTTGAGAGGATAGGTTAGCTAAGTAATCTTGCTACCTTCTTGCCCATGCTTGCGAGAATTAGGATTGCAACTTGAAAAAGCTTTCCTTCGAGCCAGCTTACAGTTGTGATTTTAGTTTTTTAGTTTCTTCTTCCTTTCATCTCTTGAATTGGGTAAACTTTCAATATTATCATCACATTAAAACGTGGAGAAAGTCAAAACCACCAAACATGTTAGTGCTAATGGCTGGAGAATCTTTGTTGGGCCTACTACCCTGGTTGCTTGGACAACAATATACTTCCCAACGTCCTTTTTGGATTGGACCTTTACCCAATCTTTCACGGGGTCTTTGTGCACCGCCTTTTTTCTTGTCTATTCTTGATTGATTGTATTTGCATATTGCTGCAAAGAAGGACAAGCACTTTGATAGTGACCATAAGTCTTGCAATTAACACACCTTTTGGGCCTCCAAGGGGTTCCTCTATAATTTCATAGGGCTCCCCATAGCCCAAGTCAAGCTTGAAAGATTTTGGAATGTCCTAGGAAGCTTGAATTTCGACACAAATTCCAGCATACAAGATACTTTTCCTTAATTGAGTAGTTGCATCGTTTCCCAATGGTGCTTGCCACAAAGCTCAATCCTTCCTTTGTCCATAGTTCTAATGGCGCATTGTAAAATTCACTCAAATGGGAACGCTAGAGAATTATTGCCTCTTAATTGCACCTCCAAATAGCACTAGTTAATAATTAGAAGTTCCCTACCAAAGTGGTAGGGATCATTATTGAGAGTTTTGTCCAAAGTTTGCTCATCTTGAAATTTAAATATGACAAGCCATTATCAAGTGTAAACGCTTTCAACACCTTCATTTTTCCATTTTTTTTTTTTTTGCCCGTTGTTTCACAAAATGGAGAGGCAATTTGTTGCTCAAATAGTAACCCACAATGCAAGATCCTATTGGGAAAAGCTCAACTTCGAGATTTTAGTGAGATGATGTCCTATGTTGTATGTTGTCACAAATGATGATGAAACCAAGGAATGAATTAATACTAAATTAGAAATCTGGAGAGTAGCACTCAAGTCAAAAGTGTTTAAGTTTGTAAAAATAAAACTCAATATATGGCATGTGACTTTAGTAGCAATAGAAATAGAAATAATAGAGAAGTAAAGATTGAAAACCAGGAGATAACATAATCATTTTTGTTACCTAGGTTGATTATTAATAAGAATGGTGAGGTTAGAGATGATGTGATGCATAAAATTAAAGTAGGTTGGATTAAGTGGAGAAGCGTGTCTGGTATATTATGTGATCGACGAATACCAACAAAACTGAAGGGAAAATTTTATAGAACATCTACAAAGCCGATGATGCTTTACAGAAGAAAATTTTGCGCAACTAATAAACAACACTTTTACAAAATGAGTGTAGCTGAGAAGAGAATGCTTAGGTGGATGAGTGGTAAAACTATAAAAGATAGAATTAGAAATGAATATTTAAGAAATGGTAGAAGTAACACCAATAGAAGATAAGTTGAGAGAGAATAAGCTAAGATGGTTTGGTCAAGTACAAAAAGACTTATAGATGCAACGGTAAGGAAGAGTGATATTTAAGTTAAATGAGCATACAACCATTCATAGAGTATAATGGCGAAAAAAGATTCATCTGGCCGACTCCACTTGATTGGGACATACGGCTTAGTTTGGTTTAGTTTGCCAGCTCCATGTTGTGGCAATATAGTTTCAAGTCCATTCGGGCTGGAATATTAGGTTGTAAAAATAAAGAAGCCCAAACAAAAGTTTGGCTGTTTGCGTGTATATCGCAGGCAACGCGCTGGAGTGCGTTATCTTCACTCATCTTCTGCGCTGCATCCTTGTTCACCTTTTTCACCTCTTCCAGCGTAGCAGGGATGCAGATTTGTGCTTTTTCCTCCATTAAGTTGATGCAGTTAGAATTAGGATGGTGGTTATGTTTTAGTATCATAAAAGTTAGTTAGAGTTAGTTGGGTCTTTTATTTTATAAATAAGTGGTTAGGCCCCTTTAGTATTCAATTTATGATATTTTGATATTGAATATTTCAGAGCTAAGTGCTCTTGTACCCATTTGGGATTTTCTCTCTCTAATGAAATATGTTTCCTAAATTGGTTCCATCATAAGTTTATCTAGATATTTTTTCCTTTTATTTATATGTTGATATATGTGCATGCTATGAGAACTTGACATTATATCCGTAGAATTATGTGAAGATGAAGCTTTGATTGATTTCCTGTACTAACATTACAACTATTAATGGGTCACTTGTATTTTTTACCTTCTAAACAAAATATTGAAAGAAGTTGTTTTCTCTGTTTTGATTGATCAGTATAGATTATTATAGGATGTCTTGTCGTTAATCAAATTGTATACAAGGAAAATGATATTTGTAATTTCCATTTCTTATCATGTTCTCACTCTTAAAGTACACAAGCAAGGGGTCCACATCATTCAATTAAGAAGACGAGTGGGCATTGCAAATATCGCCAATTTTTACCAAGGATACATGACAAGATATGACTCACTGACAAATTGTGCTTCATGATCAACAACAGGCAAGGGCGATTATAATAAGAAAAATCAACAACAAAATAGAGATGCAGAGACAAGAAGCCATACTGGCAGGGGTAGTTGGTAATAATAATGGTGTACTTGGAAGATTGTTAGAGGAAGAAAGCATACCTGATGATGCAGTTGCAGATTTCATCATCAACCTTCTCTTTGCTGGAAATGAAACAACGGCTAAGACCATGCTTTTCGCTGTTTATTTCCTCACTCAGTGTCCCAGGGCCATGAAGCAATTACTGGTACTCCTATAAACCCCCTAATCTAGAGGAGGGTATTTAATTAAAATACATTTCTAAACGGATCCTTGTTAGTGTAGAGGAATTTAATCATCATGATCATCAACAACTATATCCATTCCATACCATTAACCAAACCAAACCAAGCCTTAGGTCCCATCAAATGGGGATCCATTCCATACTAAGAAGCACGGATACGGATATGGGATATAGCGACACAGATACGGCGATACGCCAAAATCTGAAAAAGTAGGATATGGGTAGAGTGGGGATACGTTCATAAAAAAAAAAAAAAAATTAATAATTTTAATAATGTAATATGCTTGAAAATAAAACCTAAAGCAAATTAATAAATACAGAGAGGGATTCCTATTAAATAAAGAAATACTAAGATTAAAGTTCTTACAATTAAAAATTTGGTAAAGAAATACTTACATTAAAACAGTGTAGGGGAAAAAACAAAAAAAAAAAACAAAAAACAAAAAAAAAGAAAAAGAAAAAGTGGGAAAAAAATTAAATAAAGTAGCTTAATAGATAAATGGAAAGAAAAAAAAAAAAGAAGAAAAAAGAACGAGAGTAGTGAGTATTGACCATTGAAAAAATATAAATATAAAATAATTAAAAAATTGGAAAAAAAATTATATACTTATTTGACATATTAAAATATAAAAAAAAAATTAGAAAAAAAAATTTGGATACTTATGTGGCGTTTCCCTTGCATCCTCACGTATCTTGCTGTATCCCTCAAGTATCCTTCGCGTATCCCTCCCGTATCCGAAATTTTAAAAAAATCTAAAAAAAATCATATACTTATTTGTCGTATCCGATACGTATCCCGCTATATCGGACATGTATCCGTATCTGATACTCGTATGGCACCTTTTTTGGAGTATCCGTACTTCATAGATTCCATTCTATTGTTGACAGGAAATACCCCATTTGGTGTTAAAAGACAATAGCTTGTCAAGTAGGGGCAAGATGAAAATTTCAACTATATACATAAGATTTAAATTCAAAATGCCACTTTTTGAGGGATTGACCTTTTGTGGAATTGAAACAATAACTAAAAAGGGAAAAGTGGGTTTGAGGGAAAAAGTAGGGTGGTTAATGAAAAAGTGAATTTAAAATAAATAAATGATTGATAGGGGAAGTAGTAAATTAGATACACATAGTGTGTGCCACCATTCTAGTATATATAAAAAAAGTGGAAGTGCGAACAGTTAATTAGTGTTATCAAGTCTGTGATGTTCATTTATTTATTTTGTAGTTTGAGCTTTGGTTTGGTAATTTTAGATACTACCAAAACAAAAGCTTACCAAAACAAAAGCTTCCCATATCCAACGTCTTATTTTGTGATAATGGGATATAAGAATAACTACATATGCATAATTTACTACATGCATTTGCAAATTGTAGCCGCTCTCTCATATTTGTTACTTAAAATTTTAATAGGATGAGCAACAAAGCCTAATAAGTCAAAGGAGCTACTTGGATGGCGAAGATATGCTAACATGGGAAGATTACAAACAAATGTCTTTCACTCAATGTGTAAGTTCTCATTTTTTTGCTTTTGTTTCATCTCTCCACTTGACATAGTTTGTTAACTTGAAATGTTATTTGTTATTCCTTCTCTTATGAATTATGAATTAATTAGTTTTATTGAAGCCAAGGCAAGGATGATGCAGCCACAATCCATTATGGAGTTTCTGTTAATCAAAGGGAAAAAATAGAACAAAAATAATATAGAAGGGTGGGGTATTTGTTCTTTGCCTTGTATGGGGGAAACTTGGCTATAGTTTTCTCTTTTTTCTTGTTCATCTTCGTTGCAGTTGTGCCCTTGGCTGCTTCATGAAAATGCTACTTGCAGAACATATTAAAAGTTATTATTTTGTAGCTACTTGCTTTGATTCAAAATTTGTGTCATTGGAGACTAAAGAACAAAGCATCCTTTGCCAAGCCTTTGGTTTGCATTTCGAGTCTTAATGCAGCTTCCATTCCTCACCACCCACTCCCCCCTTCCCTTTAGCTTTAGGTGGCTCATCCTCCTTTCCTCTTCCCTCATATAAAGCGGATTCATTTGAGCCTGTTTACAACCTGCTTAACAATTTGGGCAAGTTTATACTTGATTAAACATGTTATTAATGGGCGTGTTCATGTGTTCAGGTCAATATTGCTACCCCTACCATTCCTGTTTGCCCTTCCCTTTAGGTAACTCATCTATCAGATGTTCTTCTCATGTACTCCAAAAAAATAAAAAAATCATTGATATCTCTGATTTGTCTAGAAGAATTGAATCCAATATGTCACTGGGGCCATTAGGGCTGTGAGTTCTTTTCTCTCTATTTAGAATTTATTCAGAAGGGTCAAAACCTAATTGATGAAATCATATATCAGAACCCATACTGGACCGTGTACAACATAGCAAGATAATCACAAACTGTATCCATGTTGTAAAGTCCATGAATCATATGCATCAATTTTTCAAATTTCCGGAATTTATTCAACTGCAAATTTAATTTTGCATCAAAACAAATTCAACAGAATCTGGAAATGCACACCACCCATGCCAAAAAGCTAGTATACATTCTCAAGAGCAACATCCTAAAATTTGGTGCCAACCCAGTACTCCACGTACTTTCACTTGCTCGAGTACGAAATAAAAAAGTTTATTTCTTGTTTAATTTCATAAATAAATATTTGTTAATTTTCAAAAATTGCTGGAAAATTACAAAAAAAAAAGATAAAAGATAAAAGAAAAAAAGGAAATCAAATCTTGAGTTGAATAGTCATGACGACCTGCCAAATGGAACCTGGACGCATCCTTACGCGTGTGGCCACATGCCTTTGGCTCGTGTGTGAGACACTAGGAAAAACCCAACTCCGCAGCCATGCTTATGTAGCGGGGTCCACCCTGTGCATGGATCCCATGTGCCGCCCTCCAGTGGTCCATTCACTGCGGCGTCAACTCTGTTTTTCACACTGAGTTCAATGGTGGTCTTGATTTTCGTATCCAACACCTTCACGATGGGGGGTGAAGCTCACTCTCTCTCAGGTGAGACTAGAATCATGCATTTTCTGCACTTCAGCTTCTACCTCCATTTATATTCGTTGTTTCAATACTTTTTTGATGGTATATGATTTGCATGCATTGAGTGCACGGATTGGGAAAACATCAAATACCAATGCCTGCAAATCATATACCATTATAAAGTATTCGGGTAGGTTTTTCCTTGGAAGAGTATTTGGGTATCGGGTGTTCTTTCTAAGGGGGTCTTGTTTTTATGGATGGCTGCTTTAGGACGGAATCTCACTATTGATAATTTGGTTCGTCATGGACATGTGTTGGTCAATAGGTGTTGTGACTTGTATGTGTTGTGCTGATACGGAGTCTGTCAATCATTTGTTTCTTCATTGTTCAGTGACTTCGAGGCTGTGAGGGCTTATTTGTTCTATATTTGGAGTTTCTTGAGGGCAACCGAGGGGGGTTTTGGAGTTATTGTGTAGTTGGAGGGGGGGTTCTGGTTGGGCGTCATTGTCGATGGGTTTGGTTGTTGGTGCCTTTCTATTTGATGTGGATGGCTCGAACATCGACTTATCATAGCGTGTCATGGCTCGAACATCGACTTTTAATTACTTCATATAGAGGGTTGGAAAGGAGGATAGATCGGGATTTGTTTGTTTTCTTAGATTTTTTAGATGACGTTATGGGTTAGGTGATTTTTGTTTAGTTGTTTTTAGTGTCTCCTCAAATTGGGCTCTTTCGTATTCTTTTGCATCTTCTTGATGCTCTTTTAATAAAGTCTGTTTATTTATCAAAAACATACGCCAATATAAAGGTATTGAAGGAACTTATATATATATATATATATATTTTTTTTTTTCATAATTTGAAACCAATGCATTTGGGAGAAAAATGCAGCGAAAGTGATGGTTTTCAAAATTTGACTCAAATTGTTGCCAAATGACTCCATAATTTTTAATGTAACTTTCAGAGATTTGATTATCATCATTTGGGCTACAACATTTAAAAAAATAGGCTCTTTTTACATGTTTCAAAAATCACCATTTTTTGCATGAAATACAGATTTATGCACATAATTAGCCATTCAAAAAAGGCGATTTGCCAATCTAAATCATGTTTTAGAAAATTATTCGGTATAATAGTGCATGAAAGCACCCTAAGAGGGCTTTGATACCAATGTAAACAACAACTACTTAGCGGAAGTGAAAGCGAATTCAGAGTTAGTCAAGCGCAAATCCAAATCCCTCAAACCAAGTAATGACAGATAGATGAATTATGCATACGGAGTGTTATCAGGAATACGTAGAAAGGTCTTTATTTATTATGTTATACATATCTGAGATATACACCCTAGGATGGAGGAAGCATGGGCCCACATGCCTCTCCTCAACTTACAAAATTTTTGTTTTGGTATAGGTTTATTTATTTATTATTCATAGGTTTATCATATAGGTATTCAATTTGCCCCCTCTAAATTTTAATATATACTTCTATTTGTTCTTTATTTTGAAGAAATTACTGTAATTTGCTCCATTTAAATGTTTATTATAGATGAAATCTCTTTTATTATTTTGTAAAGTCTACTTTTAATTTTTTATTTTTTTATAATGCTTGCTAATTTATTCTTGTTGGTATTTTTTTTTTTCTTATGTGATAATTATATGCACAAGTATATAGAATGCTTGTTACTTATTTGATAAAATCTCTCAATAAAATACTTAGAGATAAGGTGTAAGGTGTACTACAAATAAATCTTATCCATATCACGTGGATCAACAGGTCATGCCACCATGGGAGCCCCAATTTGGGTATTAGACCCAACACCACCAGCCAATACTGTGGGAGGGTACCACTACACTTAATGCGCTTTCCTAGTTGCCTGTTGTATGACCTCTTTCTGTAACTACAAATTTTTACTTACACCATGGTTTCATGCAAAACAATATTGAAAAATATATTTGAGTTGAAAGAAATAAGAGAGTGATATTAAGAGAGTAAGGGAAATTCTTGTGTATTTGATATCTGAAGGAGTAAGAGAGAACTCCATTTATAGGAGTTGTGTGATACAACATGATGATGAAAGTGGAGCATAAAATAAACTAAAGTAGCCGAAAGCAAGCAGCCGAAAGTGAGGCTGCTCTGGCATCCTATAACTATGTATAATTAATATATGCATTACATTAGTATAATATATACATGTTAATTATATAATATATTAATATAATACATTAACAGCCCCCCTCAAACTCAAGGAGGATAAACATCAACCAACTGGAGTTTGGAGACAAGTTCAACGAAGCGGCCAGGAGAATGGGCTTTGGTGAAGATATCAGCAGGTTGATCAGCAGAGGAGATTGGATGGAGATGGACAGTACCATGAGTGACGTGTTGACGAATAAAATGACAGTCAATCTCAATGTGCTTGTTGCGATCATGAAAAACATCATTGTGAGCAATTTGAAGAGCACTTTGATTGTCACAAAAGAGGGCAGTAGCGCCAGAGGGGGAAACACCCATGTCGGCAAGAAGCCAACGAAGCCAGAGAAGTTCCTGAGTAGTATCAGCAAGAGCACGATATTCGGCCTCGGTACTGGAGCGAGCAGTAAGAGATTGTTTCTTGCTGCGCCAAGAAATAAGAGAATCACCCAAGAAAAAACAGAACCCGGTAGTAGAGCGCCGGTCAGTAGGATCCCCAGCCCAATCAGCATCGGAAAAAGCACGAAGCTGGAGAGAGGAGCGGGCGGAATAATGAAGTCCATGAAACAAGGTACCTTTGAGATAACGAAGGATACGAACTAATGCGGCATAATGAGGGGTACGAGGAGCTGACATAAACTGGCTGACAATATGAACGGCATAGGCAATATCAGGACGAGTAACAGTGAGATAGACAAGGCTGCCAACCAGCTGACGATATAGGGTAGCATCAGAGAGAAGAGTGCCATCAAGAGGTGTAAGACGACTCTGAGGCTCCAGGGGAGTGGAGGCAGTCTTGCAATCGGTAAGACCAGCGCGGGTGAGAAGATCAGATGTATACTTAGCCTGAGAGAGAAAAGACCCCGTGGAATCATGGAAGATTTCAAGACCCAAGAAATAGCTGAGAGGACCAAGATCTTTTATCTCGAAATGATGGCTAAGAAACTGTTTAAGGCATACAATACCATCAAGATCGTCACCGGTGATAATCATATCATCTACATAAAGGAGAAGCAAGGTGGTCCCTTGAGCAGTTTGCCGGATAAAAAGAGCAGTATCATAAGAACTGGAGGTGAAACCACAGTCATGAATAGTAGAGCTGAACTTGGCAAACCAAGCGCGCGGAGCTTGTTTGAGACCATATAGAGCACGCTGAAGTTTGCAGACTTTATGAGGAGGATAAGTAGACCCAGGGAGAGGTTGCATGTAGACCTCCTCAAGAAGAACACCATTAAGGAAAGCATTTTTCACGTCCATTTGATAAAGATCCCAGTGTCGGGAGGTAGCAACCGCAATCAGGCTGCGAACAGAGGTGAGACGAGCAACAGGA